TAAACATTTTTTTGTATTAACAGTAGCTAAATGCAGAACATGAAAATTAAAAGCATCTTCAAAAAATTTAACAAATCCACAATTTTATGAACATTTTGTGTATGGTATGATAATAGTGCATGATTCAACCTGAAGACCAGATCATTTGGCATGGATTTGTGTTTCTAAGAAAATAACAAATTTTGGAAATGTTGCCTTCTTATATTTGGCCCACCATTCGTCTGATGCTTGTATCAACCCGGTTTGTTCGTTGTAACTTATGCCGGTTGGGCCGTGCCTTGTGTCCATAAGGCGTGCCCACGACTACCAGTCACTTTTCGGCAAGTTGTACTTGTTTTGGAGTTGCTTCACCTCATGGAACCTACCCCGTACGCTCCTGGAAGGCCTTGGACACAGCCCTGTAGTCGTGCATTGTCATGGTATGGACACAGCCCTTGCAACCGGATTCAAACTCCTTTACAACAAGTTCCAAGAACAGCCTCTCTGCGTCAGAGTCTCAAATTGCTTTGTGCACATATGCGGAATGTGGCTGAGGCTGACTAATACCCTGCTTACACAAATTGTTTGACGGCGTTGACTGCGTTCAGGATTGATCCATGTGGCTACAACATTGGAGCAATAATTGTGGGATGCGTGCAAAAAATAATGTGAAATGTAACATACACATTCATAACATGGCAACATGAAGGACAAACAAATAACAGCCGACCGAACAAGAGAAGATTGCATTGTCATCGTAAGAAAATGACATAGTACACATTGCACTAAGTTGGAAACAAAATAAAGTATCACGAGACAAATACATGCAACCTATGAACCAAAGCTAATCAAGTACGAAACAACATTACAACAACAACACACAAGACAAACGTCACAATTTGTAGGAGATGCAAAGAGTGCTGTACGTTAAGGATGCTAGCCCTTAACTGGAAAACCATGTCCTTAACTGAATGTTGAGTGTCAAGCACGGATGTTTGGCCATACATGTCACACCAACCAATCCAAGAACGACATCGCTGAATAGACACATGTATTAGTGTAGTTGTAAAACATGTAAATGCACTTGTGCATGTGAACTCACCACTGCATGAGGGCATTGGTAGTAGGCACGACTCGAATTTCTTGAAGATCTTGAAATCTTCACAACACACATCCCAAAGCCACACGCACAGAAGGGTACTGTACGCGCTGACATGGTAGAGGACAGAAATGAAGCCATGGTCTATTTTGGGAACAACCATACATGTAAACAATGAAATGGCATACCATGGACATGGTTTACAAGTTATCTTCAAAAAATTTTGGCATTGTGTAGTGTGTGGAGAAGTTATACTTTTGAACATGTGTTGCAATAAATTTTATAGGTAAATGCCAATTACTAACCATTAAAAAGCATGTTATCATGTGGTTTAAGTAGAGCGCAGCCGTTTTTGTAATAAACAGAATTAACCAAGCAGCAAGAGGTCAGAATCTAAAAATGGGACAGACCAGCAAACTGACATTTTTGGACCACTACTTTGTTACCAATTGGAATTCATTAAGTGTCCAATTCCCATGCATTTTCATAAGAATAGACAATGGTTTTTTTCATTTGTGACATGATGTATGAATTAATGATGCCATTACTCTAATCTAGTGCATTGAATACACTTCATATACAAAATGGAACAAACCAAGTCTTTTAAGCTAATAATTTTGAAGGCACATTGTAGGATATTGTTGTTCAAGATGAAGAATAAGTAAGACCGTAGCGGTATATCGACAAAAGCAATAAAATTGTCTTTTTAAAGTTGATAAATGAAAACCCTATTAGTAAATTGGTTTTTTCCAAGGAAGATCCTAATTCAAGATAGTAAAAACAATTCCATTGGTAATGTTAAGCACACACTTGTTTTGAAGATGCACAAAAAAATAAATAAAATGGAACTCTTTATTTTCTATCTCTTTTAGTTTGTAATTGTTTGTATCGTAAATCACAATTAACAGATTTGTTTTACCAACAGAAAGTACTGTAGTCATGCTGGAAATGTAAAATAGCTAAAAAAAAAAAAACTTATCAAATTTGAATGTGGTATGTAAACAGAATCCAACTCCACAACAATATCCCCAACTGCAACATGTAGTTGATTTGTTATTCGTTTTTTCAGACTCATGTGAAACTCCAAACATACACAATTTACGTACCTATAAAAATCATCAAACAAACCAACAAAACAAGGGGTAAGAGATGACACAACAAAACAGAGACAGTCAGGAACGACAAAATATGTGTAAAATCCATAACAATGCAAACAATTTTTTTACAGCTGCCAATGTCAATATCCGAAGTGTGGAGCCGAAAACAAAGGTAAACAATTTGTGGAAATTGGGAAAACGTACGAATTTGTAGACATGGGCAAAATTATTTGACTGCAAGAGATGTTACCTTCTATTGTGGGGGGGTACTGGCCGAAATGGTGAAGATTTGGTCAGCGGTGGTGTAGATCTTGACGCCGGCAGCTCCTTCCCGTCCGCTATAGGCCTGACACGCTCGCGTGTTGGAACGCCTTCCATGATACTGTAAAGGGAGGTTGTGACGAAGCTCTGGCAGTTGGCGATGTGAGTGTGACAGACTGTCGGCGCCTTCAAGGGGGAATGTTTGCACGCGTGTGTGGAGATGGAGAGAAGCTGTTGAGGAGAGAAGGCGATGAATGTTGATGTGAAGTTTTACAAATCCCTAGCTGTCCTTAAATTTGTGTATTCTCAGAGGAAGGGACAAAACGAAGGACATTTCTGTCTTTTACCCTCTGTCTAAGATTCCTTTTTCCCAAACATGTGAATAATGTTAACGTTTTTGCTTTTTCAGTGACTTTTTGACTTTTTGTCTTTTGTAAGGGATACCAAACACTTACTAAATTGGGGTAGGGTGGGGGCATGGTAGTTAATTAGCAAGGGTCATCAAATGGGCCGCAGATGAAAAACTTAATATTACCTAACCCGTTTCATGGCATGTCCTAACACGTTTGAGTATTTAGTCCATCCTAACCTATAAAAGATGATTTATGATTTTAGATAAATGGTTGTAACATGAGTCCACCCATGAACCAAGCCCATAAGAGCCTGCATGGGTAAGCCCAGCCCAGTCATCCCATAAGCCCGATTCAAACTATCCCGTCAAAACTTTTTCTTTTATATATATCCAAAAAAATCAACACTATTCAATTCAAATTTAATCCATTAAAATACATTAATTTTATATGTGTGTGAATTATATAGGACATCAAAATTTGAATGCAACTAATCATATCCCTCTTTCTCTCTTTGCAAAGCATTCGGTTAACTTAAAAGGTTCGTTTTCGAGAGTCTAAGTAAGGTAGCACATGATTGAATTCGAGGAAGGAAAAGCCAACCTAGTTGGTTTTTCTAAATTGTGTGATGCCAGTCTTTCCATTGTTTTTCCCCACTTCTAGGTATTAAAAATAAGATTACATTATGTTACTTGATTATTTTTTGATTATATGAGATGTAAAAGTGAGAAGAAATTTTTTTTTTTGAATTATGTTGTAAAGTAAAAAATAAAATAAAATAACTAATGACAATAAAATTACATTATTGTTTAATTTTGGTCCGTAAAATTTGGACTTATGAGTAAACTGTGATTTTAATTTTTTAAATTGGTTTGACCCATACCAACTCGTTAACTAATCAAAATTCAAAAATTCTAATTAATGTATAGAATTTAGACACAATAATTACAGAATGAACAGGCATTGACCTTCCCATTCATACTAGTTAGGAATGCAACAATGATATATCCCTCTAAAATTAGAGCTCTAATTGAGCTCGAGTGAGGTAAAAAGTCAAAAAAAAAGAAAAAAAAAAGGAAGCCATAACATCACATCAGATGAATCTCAAATACACATTAGAGCTATTAGAGTTCACAAATTAAAGTTTCAATATATATATATATATATTGTTTGTTAGGAATGGGAAGCAAAACATGTCGCCTCCGTAAGGCGTGGCACGAGAAAGAACTTGCCATCACTTTCTTTAAACGTACCCAAAAACAGGTATCAGGATCCTCTAGAGTTGGTTTCCTAAAATGATCCCTGAAGTAGGGTGATCCAATGGTTGAAAATGAAGTCGTTTTGGTTAGTAATATTATAAAAAATTTTATAAAAAAAAAAAAAATTTGCTTTGATTCAAAATCCCTTTGCAGATCTGATATACTCAAGTGAAGTAAAACGATGAAGAGAGAGAGAGAGAAAGAAGGAGGAACTCTTCCCACCCATCCCGACGTGCCGTTGCCGCTGCCACGCCGTTGCTCTTTGTATTTAGCTCTTTATCGGTTCACATGTCTTCCATTTAATCCTGATATTGTACCGGTTTTTTTGCCACTTTTATGAGTTATGATTCTTTATAATGGAACCTGTTAATTCTGAATTTTTATTACATAAAAAATGTTTGTGGTGTATTCCAATTATGGTTGTTTTCCCTCATAGGGCCGGCTATGGTGTTTTGAGATTTATTATGGAGAGTGGGGCAAAAGGATGCGAGGTGTGTTTTGCCTTCTTGTGTACTGGTACTAATGCTATATTGTACTTCTAAGTGTGAATCTAATTGGTTAACTAACAGGTGATTGTTAGTGGAAAACTGAGGGCACAACGTGCCAAGTCCATGAATATATTGATGGCGGGCAGCGGCGTTGCAGCGGCAACGGCGCGTCGGGATGGGTCAATTGCCTATTTGACCATATGTTTTGACTATTTCAAAAGAGTGTCATTCCAACCATTAGTTTAATGTTATTTCTGTTAGCAAAATACTAATTTTAGAGCGCCACAACGGATAGAATGTTTGAAACAAAGCTTCCTCATCCCCACAAACATGCCGATAATGTTGGCAGCCCAAAATTGTATTCTTGTTCCGCACCCAAAAAAATAAAAGGAAAAAAAAAATAAATAAGAAAAGAAAAACAAAAAACAAAAAAAAGAAAAATATATTAATAACTAACCAACCAGAAATAGCATATGGCTCCATAACCCAACCTCTGGGTGTATTTTTTGTTTCTAATAATCCTTCTTTGGTCATTTCTCTCAACTCTCATCCCCTCTCACAGGAGGGCTTGGAAGATGGAAAAGAAACCTAGAGGACCCCAAACCAACAAAAGAAAAATCATTTCCTCTGCATCATCAGTATTGTTATCGCCAATGGCGATCCTCATGGTTCTTTTCCTCATCTTGGCCCCAGTAGTCTCAGCTGCCCCAGCCTCTTCTACGATGGTTTCATTCACCCCACAGGACAACATCTTAATTGACTGCGGCGCTAACGCCCAAACCACACATTCCGATGGTCGAGTCTTCAGCTCCGACCAAAGCTCCGGCAAGTACTTCTCGTCGGAAGGCCGAGACATACTAGTATCCGTCCCATCTGCACCGAATGTGCCTTCGCCCATTTATCTCTCAGCCAGGATCTTCATCCAGGAAGCTACCTATACTTTCCACATCAACCGCCCTGGCTGGCACTGGTTGCGCCTCCACTTCTTTGCCGTCAACAATCCCGAATTCAATCTCCGCGACGCCAAGTTCTCGGTCACCACCGACACCCTAGTTCTCCTCTACGAATTCAATGTCGAAAACAACAACACTGGTTGGTTCTTCAAGGAATACCTCGTTAATGTCACCACCGAGAGGTTGAGTTTGAAATTCAAGCCGGTGAAGTCTGCTCCAGCGTTTATAAATGCCATTGAGGTGGTGTCTGCCCCGGACCTCCTTGTCTCGGACACTGCCTCCACTCTCTTTCCCGTAGCTCAATACAACGGTCTTTCAATCCAATCTTTTGAAACCATTTACAGGCTCAATGTGGGTGGTCCAGAACTGAACTCGAAAAATGACACACTTGGCAGGACTTGGACGTCCGACGAGAAATTCCAAAAACACAAAGAGATGTCCAACAAAGTTTCAGTTTCCCCAAGCATTGTAAAGTACCCGGAAGGAGGGTCTCCACTAATTGCGCCGCAATCAGTGTACGCGTCGGCGGTGGAGATGGGAAATGCAAATCTGGCAGACCCGAATTTCAACGTAACGTGGAACCTGGAGGTGGATTTGTCATACCAGTACTTGATCCGTATGCATTTCTGCGATATAGTGAGCAAATCGCTCGATGATCTCTATTTTAATGTGTATGTCGGTGGGAAGAAGGCCATTTCCGGGTTGGATTTGTCAACGGTAACGGGTGGTTTGGCGACAGCTTACTACAAAGATATTATTGTAAATTCGTCAATGGTGTCGACTCCGCTCAGTGTTCAGATTGGTCCGTTTGATCAAGGCACAGGCGCAAAAAACGCTATTATTAATGGAATTGAAGTGCTGAAAATGAACAATAGTGTTAATAGTTTGGGTGGTGAGTATGGTGTCGATGGCAGGACAGCTAGCGGTGTCAACAAAGGCACGGTAGCGGCAGTTGGGTTTGCCATGATGTTCGGGGCCTTTGTGGGTTTGGGTGCAATGGCTGTCAAGTGGCAAAAAAGGCCACAAGATTGGCAAAAGAGTAAAAGCTTCTCTTCATGGTTGCTTCCACTCCATGCAGGTGACACAACCTATATGTCGAGCAAGAACTCGATAGGCTCTCGCCGAAGCCAATTCTACTCTTCAACAACGGGGCTAGGCCGATACTTTTCTTTTGCAGAGCTGAGCGAGGCCACAAAGAATTGGGATCCGAATGCAGTGATCGGTGTTGGTGGCTTTGGCAACGTGTATATTGGAGAGATTGATGAAGGAACTAAAGTGGCAGTCAAAAGAGGCAACCCACAGTCCGAACAAGGCATAAATGAGTTCCAAACAGAGATTCAGATGCTATCGAAGCTCAGGCATCGCCATTTGGTGTCGTTGATTGGTTATTGTGATGAGAACACAGAAATGATCTTGGTTTACGAGTTCATGTCGAATGGACCTCTTAGGGACCATCTATATGGAAAGAACTTGCCTTCCCTGCCATGGAAACAAAGGCTGGAGATTTGCATTGGGTCTGCACGAGGACTTCATTATCTTCACACTGGAGCGGCACAAGGCATCATCCACCGGGATGTCAAGACCACTAACATCTTGCTCGACGACAACTTCATTGCTAAGATGGCTGACTTTGGGCTATCAAAAGACGCCGGCGCAGGAAACACTCATGTGAGTACCGCGGTGAAAGGAAGCTTCGGGTACCTTGACCCTGAGTATTTCAGGAAGCAACAGTTGACAGACAAGTCTGATGTGTACTCATTTGGCGTGGTACTATTCGAGGCCTTGTGTGCACGACCCGCCATCAACCCAGCCCTACCAAGAGAACAAGTGAACCTGGCAGAGTGGGCGATGCAGTGGAAGCGAAAGGGATTGTTGGAGAAGATCATGGACCCCCAACTTGCTGGCGATATCAACCCTGAGTCGATGCAAAAGTTTGCCGAGGCTGCAGAGAAGTGTTTGGCTGAGTATGGTGTTGATAGGCCTACTATGGGTGATGTCCTGTGGAATTTGGAGTATGCTTTGCAGCTGCAAGAGGCTTCATTACAAGGTAAGGCTGAGGATGAGAACAAAACTTTGACTGCCGCCGCTGCCGTTGCCTCCACTCCCTCTCCTGCTGCCTCTGTTGCCCCTTCTACCACCGATAACCACCCCATTTCTTCGCCTGAGCAGGCTAGGAATCCGGCAGAAGTTCAAGTCATCGACGAGCACTCGGGAACAGCAATGTTTGCCCATTTTGCCACCATCAATGGCAGATAAAATCCGAGTAAGATACAAGCCTAGAAAACTTGCCAAGAATTTTAACCAGAATTAACAAGTGCGGTGGAAATTCAATTGGTTGCATTGTGGAGCCTCTACAAATAATGAATTTGAATCACACATGGATATTTTCTGGGTAAAATTTTGGATAAAAATTCTGGGTATGTTGTAGTACTACTGATAAAATCCTAAAATTCTCAACTTGGTTGTTGCTTCACATGTCCCGCATACATTCAACGGTGGTTATGTGGTATTGTTGTATTGTATTTACACTGTAATACATGTACTTGTATGGATGGATGCAATACACATTAATCCTATAATATATTTATATGCCAATGTATTACTCTCTAGCTCATATTTGTGTTCTTTGGAGGAGTGTATTATACATATAGGATTGAGAGACCAAAATGTGACAACTATTTTGGTATGATCATAAAAGTCTCTGCCTGCTGGAGAGCTGGACATAAGGGATATAAATAGGTACGGCGGAAAACGTAGGGGCACACAAGAGTTGATGTAACTAAGTTAATGAGTTGTGAAAGCAAGTTGAGTAAATCTGTTGTGTTTTTTATTCGAGCAATGGTAGAGGGCCCAAATTCTGTGGCTCAAATGTGGCTCAAATGGCCAAAACGACGTCGTTTTGAGTACAAAACAACATCAAAATGGCCAAAACGACGTCGTTTTGGCCATTTGAGCCACATTTGAGCCACAGAATTAGGGCCCCCAAACATTTTTCTTTTTATTCACTATGATGAAAGTAGAATAGAATGGTTATTCTTTACCATTCTTATGGAATGTCTATTCATTTACAATAGTGAATAATAATTCTCGCAATATATGAAATTAGATATTTTGATGGAATATAATCATTTTACTCTACTATCAGTTTAATAAACCAAACACCACATGAAATTGCTTAACTATCTAATAAAGGTGAGTTACCATGTCGCACCTATAAAAATTTTCACTACATCATTGACATTGAGAGGGTAATTTATATGAAGATTGGGTCGAACTGGGTAATAGGCCGTTATGGGCTACAGTGCGAAGGGCTGAGTAAAAAAGCCATGAAGTTACTCCGGCCCAAGAAAGGTGTAAAGTTACTCCGGTTCCAAGGAGGTTAACTCGGTCACCATACTAAAACTTATACCTGTTATCGCGCAGTATGGTTAGCTCGGTCTAAACCTTGCTAAAAGTTAGCTCGGTTTAGACCTACCACGGTTTGTACAGGAGGAACTGAGGTAAGGGTAGTAAAAGGACGAACCGAACTAAGGATAGTTCGGTCTGTTCTACGGCTAAGCATAGCCATGCGTACCTCGGCCACATTGGAGTCCAACCATGGTAAAACTATCTCACTTGGTTTAAACAGTGAGGGGGGTGTTGAACGATAGGCATTATCTTTCAGGAGTATGAATCCTAGGAGGACTCTACATGGAGGAGTAACAGTCCTACTTGGATTGTGCCACACGGAACCTATAAAAGCTCACCAACATCACCTATGGAGAGGTAACACAATTTTGATTCCTGAATACACAGAGCTTTTGTCTACTTGTCTATTTTGCTGACTTAGGCATCGGAGGGGTTTCCGGCACACACCCGCCGGCTAGCTCACGTTTGTGTTTTCAGGGAGTAAAACGAAAACGTTTGGAGGAACCCGGACTTGATCAACAGGATTATACGAGAAGGTTTATTTCTTTCCCGTACAATTGGCGCCGTCTGTGGGAAGGCTAGACAAGAACAAAACCTCTTGATCAAGCTTTTCCTCTTTAGAAGCAATGGCACACAACGAAGATTTGCCGCAGTCCGCCATCGACGGACAAACACCAGAGGGGGGTGCAAGACGCGAAGGCCTACCTTCTATCCCTCCCATGGCGGACTTAGAGCCGCAGCGACAAAATCACAAGAGGGATACAAGGGGGAGGAGGCGGACTAACAGCCCCCGTCACTCTCGTTCACGAAGTCCTGACAGACAAAGGAGGAGGATTGATCCTCAAGTTCTGGAGGACCGCGTTAAGGAGCAAGATGAATTAATAAGGAAGATGGCGGCAGACATGGAGGCCTTGAAGCGCAAGATGAAGGGAAAAGGAGTGGCGATAGGAGAGGGGTGCAAAAGCAAGACGTCCCCTTGCCGCTCAGTAGACCATGGAAGGCATTCCACACCATCACAAGCAGAGAGTAGAAGCCTCAAGACAAGCGATACTCAATCCAAAACCTCCAGAACTCATTTCTCCAGGTCTGAGAGAACGAGATCATTGAGGTCTTACACAAAGGGAAGCACCTATCGACCCTCGCGCTCGCACCAGACATCATCCAGGCAGACAGAGTTACCAAGATCATCCGATTTGCGGAACATGTTGGAAAAAAAGGCATGATGGAAGGAGGATACTAGGGCACGCAACCCTCGCAGGGTATCTGCCCTTCAGTGGTTGGCTCCTCGGACGCATGGAAGCATCGAGGTCGGAATGCCGTTGCCACGCCCTGCCTACGAACCAACGGACAAAGCATTAGCAAGGCTGCAGACATCACCGTTCGTTCCGGCAATTGAAAATGCGCCCCTTCCTTCAGGTTTCCTTCAACCCAAATTCACCACGTACGAGGGGAAGACGGACCCCTACATACACCTAAGCCACTTCCACCTGGTTGTGGCGGTATATCGGCGAAACAAGGCTTTGATGTGCATCCTCTTCCCATCAAGCCTTGGTGACCTAGGCTTGACTTGGTTCGAAAAACTTCCAAAAGGCAACATAGCCTCCTGGGCACAATTGGCGGAGGCGTTCGTCACAAGGTTCAGAACGAACACCAAAACCCCGGTGGAGATTGACCAGTTACTCTCCATCGACATGGGCGAAAATGAAACATTAAGATCCTACAATAATCGTTACTGGGAGACATTCAACCAGATTGGGGACTGCCCCACCAATCTCGCCATTGCACAGTACAAAAGAGGCCTTCCAATCGGAAACAGACTAGACTCGATCACTATGACACCGCCCCTCACCATGGAGGCCTTGATAGAAAGAGTGCATCAGCACATCAGGATGGAAGAGGATGGCGCCCGTGCCAAAACAAAATCTGGCACGACCGCAGTACCAAATAAAAAGACCACAGCAAAGATCAAAACGGTAGAACGTCTGAACAAAAACGGACGAGGCAGGCGAGACAACGGAGAGGACCAGAATAAAAGATGGTTCAGAGTCCGCACTACCATAACCACGGTATTCAAGAAATCGATCTACCAGATTCTGAGTGAAATACACGATGAACCTTTCGTCAGATGGCCAGCTAAGCTAGGAGAAGCACAGAAAGACTACGACGAAAGGTCACGATGCACCTTCCACAAAGAAAATGGGCACCACACTGAAAATTGTATGCCATTGAGACAGCATCTGGAGGAGTTGGTGGCAGCCGGTCACTTGGATAAATACATTGAAGGAGGGACGCAACCAGCCCCCCAGGACCACAATAACCCCAATGGAATGCCAATTGACGCCCCACCTCAAGGTGCGATCAATGTGATACATGGGGTATTCGAACCTGAGCGTGTATGTGAGCTCAGAGGATCGATCAAGAAGGCTGAGCACTTAAGGGAGGTACTAAGTGCCCAACCTACCATCAAAAAGTGGAGAACAAAGGCCACGAACGTCATGTCTTTTTCAGACAAGGACTTGGAAAGAATATATTGCCCCCACAACGATGCACTGGTCGTCACCCTCCGCATCAAGGACTATGACGTCAAGCGAATTCTGATAGACCAAGGTAGCTCGTGTGAGATAATGTACTACGACACCTTCAAACAACTGAAATTAGAGGACAAAGACTTGGCACCCGCTGTATCCCCCCTGATCGGATTCAACTCAATGCCAGAATGGCCAGTCAGCAAAATCATTCTTCTAGTCAGGGCAGGAAGCGTGACAAAACAAGTGGAGTTTTGGGTGTTAAAAGTCCCTTCCACTTACAACATAATCTTGGGAAGAACATGGCTGCATGCCATGCGATCTGTAGCGTCATCCTACCATCAAGTAATGCGGTTCCCCAACGAAGTCAGTGTAATTGAAGAGGTCTTTGGAGACCAAATTATGTCCAAACAGTGCTTCGTCACGATTAATGACACCCGCGCTGCCAAGGGATATGTTCATTCGGTGGAAGAACCTGAGAACAATGAACTGTTCGCAGATGTCGGCAAAGCAGCTGACCAAAAAGCGGTGGAAGACTTGGTAAAGGTAGAGATAGATTATAAGAACCCGGATAAGTTCTTTTTGCTCGGTTCGTCGTTGTCCAGCATTGAGAGATTAGAAGTCTTGGAATTCCTGACCTCTAACATCGAAGTGTTCGCTTGGACACCATACGACATGCCAAGCATCAATCCAAACTGCATCTGTCACCAACTCAATGTCCACCCATCCGCCAGACCAATCATTCAGCACACTCGCAGGTTAGCACTCCACCACGCCGAAACAGTGGCAGAAGAAGTGGGAAACCTGCTGGAGGCAAGAGCAATCAGAGAGGTTCATTACCCCAGATGGATTTCCAATACAGTCATGGTACCAAAAAAGAATGGCAAATGGCGTGTCTGCGTCGACTACAAGACAGTCAACAAAGCATGCCCAAAGGACAGCTTTCCCCTACCATGGATAGATTGGTAGACCTAACGGCGGGGCACAACCGACTTAGCTTTCTTGATGCGTACAGAGGTTACCATCAGATCGCCATGTACAAACCAGACCAGGAGGTCACGTCCTTTATAAGTCCAAGAGGACTGTATTGCTACAAGGTCATGCCCTTTGGCCTAAAAAATGCAGGGGCAACGTTCCAACGGATGGTCACCAAGATGTTTGAACCATTGTTAGGCAAAACATTGGAAGCTTACATTGATGACATGGTGGTCAAGAGCAAGGATAAGAATGACCATCTAAGAGACCTAGGTGAGATGTTCCAGATTCTAAAGAAGCACAAGTTGCACCTTAATGCATCCAAGTGCGCGTTCGGTGTAGGATCTGGCAAATTCCTGGGCTTTCTAGTGACCAACCGGGGTATTGAGGCAGGTCCCTCATAGATCAAAGCTATTCAGGATCTAAAGAGACCTAACTCAGTAAAAGAAGTACAACATCTCACCGGCATGGCTGCTGCACTCAACCGATTCATTAGCCGATCGTCAGACAGACTACGACCATTTTTTTAATCGTTAAAAGCCAAGTTCGAGTGGGACGAAGAATGCGACCGCGCTCTGGAAAGCTTAAAAGAATACATGTCTTCTCCACCACTGCTGGTCATCCCAATACCTGGAGAAGAACTCTTCCTATACCTAGCGGTCTCTCAGCATACGATTAGCGCAATGT